TTTTGGTTGAGTACCTCTAGATTTGTGTTCTCCTTTAGAAGACACTAGCCAACAGTCTGCTAAAGCACCTTCATCAGTTTCGGGGCTCCTGCCAGTTATATCTGAGAAATTCCTTGTTTTACATCCTCAGGACTTATCTGGGACTGACTGTCTTGTGAAGAACAAGATATTCTGGAGGGACATGTCCCCTCCCTTTGGCTATCAGATTATTTAAACAATGACCCTCAAGGACTTGGGATCTCATGCTGGGTGAAGAAGGCTCCCACTGCCAGCCAGGGAGATGTTTGTCTCTCACAAAGATTTCATGCAGTTCTGACAGCATCTGACCCCCTGTAGGAGAGACAATGATGGTGGGCAGGTCTACACTTGACCCGGAATGTTTGGCCTTAAATGCCTCTTGTCCTCTATTGAAATCTAAACTTATGTCAAGACTCTGAAGATGAATGGGGGAGGGGCCAGTGGGCTTCTTCATGTGTTCTTCCCAAACCTCCTCTGACCCAAACATCTCTAGTAACATCGAGGTTAGAGTCAGTCTTTTACATTCTAGACCTTGTATGGGGGGGGCTCATCATGGCTTTCCTTATGTCTCCGACAAATGAGGTTGAGTACTTTCAAACAGCTACTGGACATTTGACTATTCTTTTTTATTTGTTTTGTTTCCAAGACACGTTTTCTCTTGTAGCTTTGGAGACTGTCCTAGAACTAGCTCTGTAGATCAGGATGGCTTCGAACTTCTGCCTCCCAAGTGTGGGATAGTGCTGGGATTAAAGGCATGCACCACCACCTCCCCGTTACTTGGCTATTCTTTCTGATAAATTACCTGTCAAAGTCTTTTGCCTATTTTCCTTCCCTCCTTATTGATCTGTAGGATTCCATTATGTTCTAAATCTGAGCCTTTTTTTCCAGTTTTTTTTTTTAAGTTTTACTTGCTCTGTAGACCAGGCTGGCCTCAAACTCAGATCCTCCTGCCTCTGCCTCCTGAGTGTTGGGATTAAAGGTGTGAGCCACCACAGCCCTGCCCAGCCCTGGGCTTTTGATAAGGTTTAAGGCATCAGACATGAGTTGCCATCAGTGGCTCATGCTGCACGGTCAATCAGACAGTGGTTGGTTACCCCCAAACACTCAAACCACTCTCTCATCAGTGGACACATTTTGGCTGTCAGGTTGGTACTGTAGCTCTCAGGGTCCACTGCTGGGTAAAACCAGTAGTGACTTAGTGACTTTTCTCCTTTGCGGGCCTACACTGCATTGTCTGGCACCATGAAAGCTAAGTTGGCAGGGAAGAAGCATCCAGTTCATTTCCAGCTTGAATTCTTTATGGTGCCATGCAACATAGTGTTGTTAAAGAGACCTGCTTGCCTCTGCTTCCCGAGTGCTGGGATTAAAAGCGCGGGCCACCACCACCTGGCTAAGACAATTCTTATTTTCTGGTTGAGTTGCATCATCTTCTGAGAATATACTCTATCTGACATTCGTTGGGACTTGTTCTCTCTCTAGCATCAAAAACGTTCCATGTGCAATTGAGAATGTGTGAACTGCAGCTAGGGGTGCCCTGTTCTATATATGTCCAGTTGGTAGAAGTGTGCTTATTGGTCTGTTCACACTTTATTAATCTTGTCCTCATAATTAGGGATAGATATAACATCTATTCTAACTGCAAATTTTTCTGTATCTTCTTGCAATTTTATCTTCTTTCTGTTGCTGTGCTTTGAGGCTATTGTGTAAGTACACAAAAACTTTAAATTGTTATATATCTTGGTTAATTGAGTATATTATCATCATTATGATTTGGCTTTTTTTTTTAAAGTCCTTATTTTATGTGCATTGGTGTTTTGCCTTGGATCTCCTGGAGCTGAACTTACAGATAGTTGTGAGCTGCCATGTGGTTGCTGGGAATTGAACTCAGGTACTCTGGAAGAGCAGTCAGTGCTCTTAATCACTGAGCCGTCTCTCCAGTCATGCCCCACCCCCATTTCTTGCAGGGTCTCATGTATCCCAGGCTAGCCTTGAACTCCTGATTCTCCTGTCTTCACCTCCCAGGTACTAGGATGACAGATTATTTGGTATTGGTTATGGAACCTCTCAAATCCTCAGCAAGTGAGTTACAATTGGGTCACATTTCCCATCCTCTTGTTGTATTCTTTATTTCTATTGATCTCTCCCTCCCTCCCTCCCTCTCCCTCCTTCTCTCTAAAGATAAGGTCTCTCCAACTGTCTCTGATTGTCCTGAAACTAATATGGACCAGGATGGCTTGGAACTCAGAAATCCACCTGCCTCTGGGATTGAAGGTGTGCGCCACCAGGCTGGATTGCTTTATTTGTGTGTGTATGCATGTGGAGACCAGAGGTCAATATCTGGAGTATTTCTCAATCACTCTCCACCTCATTTTTTTCTTTTTTTTTTTTTTTTTCTTTTTTTTTTTTTACGAGACAGGGTTTCTCTGTATTGTTTTGGAGGCTGTCGGTCCAGGCCCGCCTGGAACCCACAGAGATCCACCTGCCTCTGCCTCCCGAGTGCTGGGATTAAAGGCGTGCGTCACCACTGCCCGGCTCCACCTCATTTCTTGAAACAAGGTCTCTCACTGTATCTGGAGCTCACACACTAGCATGGCTTATTTAAAATTATTGTTGATGTAATTTAGTTTTAATCCCACCTATTTTATAGTCTGTTTTGTTTGAGATAGGGTTTGTTTGTTTAATAGCCCAGGCTGTCCTGGGATGCTCACTTTTGTAGTGGCATCTTGTTTTGACAATAGACTTGAGGTAACGGCCTGAGGGTGTGGCTTTGGTGTGAGGGTGAGCCCTTCCTCTTCCTTCCAAATGTGCCCCATGCTGGGTGACAAGTGAAGGAGGGTTAAAGAAGTCTGTGCACTTTGTAGACCAGGCTGGCCTCAAACTCACAGATCTGCCGCCTCTGCCTCCCAAGTGCTGGAATTAGATGTACACCACCCATTGCCTGACTTTAGTCTATTAAAGTTTATTTCCCCCCCCCCATTATTTAGAGACTACTTTCTTAGTTTCTGTAATCAAACTCACATAGATAAGGCTTTACATGTTTAATACAGTGTTATTCTTGTACAAATGGGAAAAATTCAACTTTTCTAGACCAAAATGGCTGTTTGTTTCAGCATAATCAACATGGTAAACCCTTTTTCAAAGCTGACAGAAAAGGTTACCAAAAATCCAAATTTATACACCGGTGTGTGTGTGTGTGTATGTGTGTACAAGGTACATATATATTAGTAGAATGCTATGCATCAATAGTCACAACAGGTCTTTAATTTTTAAATTGTATTTTATGTGTTTATGATGTGTGTGTGGCAGGGTAGAGCACAATATGACCCTTGTGCTGGGATTAAAGGCGTGCGTCACCATCATTCAGCTGAATTTTTCTATTCAGTGTCTCTGCATGATTAACCTAGCTGTCACTCACCTCTACCATTCTTCTGATTTCCTTACACTGTCCAGTGTGCAGTTTGCTGACCCTCCACTGGCTGTCACTGATGCCTGAACCTTATTTCCAGATAGCAGAAGAGCTAAAAAACACTCTTACTCCACTAGCAGCTAACCTTTCCTGACCTAAACTCACTGCTATCAAACATTTCAATTACAGATGTTGTATTTACGCCTTTAATCCTTGCTCTCAGGAGGCAGAAGCAGGTGGATCTCTGTGAGTTTAGGGCCAGGATGGTCTACAGAGCGAGTTCTGGGACAGCCAGGGCTACACAAAGAAACCCTTTCTTGAAAAACCCAAAAACCATCCACCAAAATAAAAAACAAACAACAGAACCCCCCCAAAAAACCAACCAACCAACCAACCAGCCAACCAAACAAACAAATAAACAAAAAACCAAGCAGACAAAAGCAGGGAAAGAATTAAGGCTTATGTGTAGGAATACTGCAATTTTAAATAAGGTGACAGACAGCAACTCCCCGCAATTGTTACAGGAACATGGGAATGACATATTCAGAAGTGAGAGGAGAATCCAACTTCTTGGAAACAAAGGTGTGAGCCATGTAAGCTCTCAGACACAGAGACGGAAGGGCTGGGTGTGATGGCACAGGTCGTACTGAGAGGAGTGAGCCAGGATGACCAGAGTTCCAGGCTAGCCTAACTTACATGGTGAGATCTTGTCTCAAACAAACAAAACCAAAAAGAGGGCTGGCAGGACGGCTCAGCTAAAGGTGCTTGTTGCCAAACCTGTTGACCTGAGGTGGACCCTGAGGAGCCACCTGGAAGGACAGAGCTGACTTCCACAAGACGGTTCAGTGGCTAAGAGCATTTGCTGCACAAACATGGGGTCCTTAGTTCACAAGGCCAGCATGCACAGAGAAAGAGCTGGGAATGGGGTGTGTGCTTGTAACCCTGGCATTGGAGAGCAGAGACAGGCAGGTTCTGGAAGTAGAAGGAGAAAAAGGAGAGGCAGAAGAAGGGAGGAGGAAGAAAAGGAAGACATGTTGTGAGAATGTGGGGTTTAGAGTGTCTATGAGAGACACCAAGAGGTTGTTGAATAGAACCTCACACTGGGGGTGGCGGTGGGGGTGGGGGCCAGGGGTGGGGGTGTCTGAGAGTGCTGCCAGAGATTCAGGAATCCCTTTTTGGATTTAAATCATGAAAAGAGATGACTAGACAATGTGACGAGAGGCCTAAAGACGGCTAAGGGTGCTGGTGGAGAGCGAAGAGTGGGGAGAGGAATGTGAGGAGGAACCGGTGCCACTAGTGTCTATCAACTCAGGAACAGGACAGAACCAGGTTAGCAGCAGAGCCCCGCAACCCCATTGGGTCCCTAGCTGAATGCGCTCAGAGCAGTCTCAAGAGTTGGTCACTCCACTTCAGACACCCAGTCTCCTTACCGCCGTGTGCTGATAAGTTTGTCATTCATTCCACAGATATTTGCTAAGTATCTATGTTCGTGCCCCCACTCCAAAGGTAAATCAAAACAGACGTGAGCGGGTCAGATGATAATCAAACAAATTGATGAGACAGTTTCTAACAGTGGTAGAGTGGAGTGACCTGTTTTATTTAAGGGGATCACAAAGGTCCTCTTGGAGGAGTGACAGGCACAGTGACCTGAATGATAAGATGATGACTGACAGAGAGAACTAGTTTTTCTCAGGGGAAGGAAGTTTGGGGTGATGTAGGGAAGAGGAAGGTCACTCTGGCCTCATGATGGGGGAAGGGGAGGTGGGCAATCTCACTGAGCTCGCAGGCAGTGGCTGGGAACTTAAGGCTCATCTCACGTATGATGAGGAAGGCTTAGGGGGAGTCACATAATTTGCATTTCACAAACACTGGTCACATGGACGGCATACTATAAGGGGCAGTCTGGGAGCACGGGCAGTTAGGAGGTTCTCTTAGCCCAGATAACAGGTGGCATCCGGGACAAGAACCTGCCAGGACACTCACTCGAGGCAGTGACATCAATGGAGTCTGTCTTCGGGCCAAAGCCTTTCTAAAGCAAAGAAAGACTACCTACCAAAGGCAGTTTGGCAGGCACAGCTCTGGCTCTTCGGTTGATTACTTACTTACAAGGAAGCTCAGATCGCCCACTTAAAGTTGCCAATCATTCCATTAGTGCATCCTAGTGGCTGAAAGAAAAGCAGGAACTGGAGGGGCAGCAACTGGGGTACCCTGGAAACAGGACTTAGGGGCCTTCACTTGCAGGAAGAGCAGAGGGGCCGGTTGGGGAGGCGCCTTCGACCACCCTAGAGGTGTCCGGAACTCTAGGTTCCAGTTCCCAACACCATTGGAGATTCGCAGAAGCTCTGAAAAGTGACTCAGGGGAGGTTCCTCCCCTGACAGCCTCTTCCTAGTCCGCTGGGAATGACTCACCTGCTCCCTCCCTCAAGAGTGACCCCGGGGCCAATCACTTAATGAGGCTACACCTCACCCTTCTCTTCAGGCTGGGACAATAGACTGGTGGAGCTTTTGGCTCCCTAGGGGCAGAGGTAAGTCAGCAACCACCCAGGTAGCTCCAGACACCTCTGGTGGAGATGCCTATAAAGGGCAGACGGAAGACCCTCCCCTTGCACCAAAAAGAGGGTGTGTACGTGCCAATGCCTGTGCCCACAATTTCTTCGAATTTGGAGAGGCTTTTTAGCAGCATTTTGTTAGCACGTTTTAGTGTGCTGGGGAATAACACCCTCATCCCTCCAACCGCTGGGGAGTAAAACCTCGTAAAAGCTAAGCACAAGATCGACCCGGAGAGTCTTGGAGGATTTTCTTTTGTACAGTACACCAAATATTGTTCGGGGTAGGCAGAAGTCCCAAACTCAGAAATGCTGACACTGGAGGCTTTGGGAAGAGAACGTACAGGGTGGGGGTTGGGGAGTAAATCAACAGACCTCCGTTTCTGACAGGACAAGGGCTGCAAGAAGCAGGTACTTCAGTGAGCAAGGCGTGTGTGCGTGTGTGCGTGCGTGCGTGCGTGTGTGTGTGTGTGTGTGTGTGTGGTAGTCACCTGGGCCAGGTGTCCGCACGCCCGAAGCAAAAGGGAGGGGCAGAGAGCGCGCGGCGTGTCGGTCTTGCAGCGAGAAAGCAGATGCCCGCGGGATGCTCGCAGAGGTCTGTAGCGGGCGCACGGTCGCCTCCTACTTCCTGCGCCCTAGTCGCCTCCGAGCCACTCTGGACATCCCCCTCCTCTCTGCCCCGAGCCAGCGTGGCGCCTGCCTTCTACGTTGTCCCGCCGCCTGGGGTCGCCGCCCTGTGGGAACAGGACAGTGGGAAGACCGTAAGCACTGCTCCCCACCTTCCCGGGGACCCTCCTCCCGGTCCAGGCGCGCATCCACGCCCCACCCGGAGTCAGCAACCTGGCTCCCCGCAGTTACCTGCGGGGGAAGTCACAGTCCGCAGTTTGGACTCTATCCGGTAGATCTTACGGAGCCGAAAGCTACATTCCTAGGGGGAGGGGTCCTCCGACCGAGAGGGTCGCGGATCACATTACCCGGCGAGAGGAGACGGCGCGAGGCTGAGTAAACTGGGGGGTAAAAGTTGCATTGAGCTTAACCTTCCCAAACCCCAATCGCGCTTCGCTGTCGGGTTGACTAGGCGTTCGCAGAGTTCCTGGAATCCGGGGGCCCCAGAGTGGCTTCCCAGGGTACAGGCACTGTCCCTGCGCGCGGGTGCGACGTGCGTGGCGGATGCCCCGGGGCGGGAAGCGCGAGCGTTTGCAAGGACCCGGAGCTGGGGGACCGCTCGCAGCCGTGCTCATGCTTGCGTCTTTGCATCCCTGCATGCATCCGTGCATCCGCTAGTGGCTCGCACGCCACCCGCGCCCAGGACACCCCGCGTTGATTGAATGCAGAAGTGGGGCGTCTGCATGCCAGGGCAGGATCGCGGCGGGTCAGACAGCAGCTCGCGTAGGGGATAGGGGGAGACCGGGGCAGGGAGAAAAGAGAGCACCCCAAAGACACAGTTGGAAATCCTAAGGGGCAGGATGTTCCCCGCGAAGTCCTGCAGGCGCTGAAGGGGGCCGGGCGGGCCTCTGGGGCCAACTTTCCGGAGGGAGGTGCGGCCGGAGGGGGCGGCGCCGGCGGCAGGAGGCGGGAGTCGGGGGCCGAGGGGGGGGAGTCACTTTAAAGGCTCTTTCTTACCCATAATGCTTTGTGGGGACGTTGACAAGTGGATCCAAGATGGCGTAGAAAGTAATGACAGGTAAGTCCTGACTTCCCCGTTCTCCGCTGCCCGGGTCGCTTCGGGAGCCTCCAGAGCCATCCGGGGAGTGGCCTGGACTCCCCTCGGGTGCTCCGGGTCCGGGACAGCGCGGCCCCGGAGACAGCGGGGGGTCCCGACGGCCGGCCGCAGGGCCTGGGGAGCGGGGCTCTCTCTGAGGCGAGGCCCGGACGCTGGAGCTGTTTACTGCTTCTTCCCCTCCTCAATCTCCTTTCCCTTCCGCCGGGGGGCTGAGGCGCCAGCCGTCCAGGCGGTGACCCGGGGGGGTCCTTGCACACGCCCGAGGTTCGGGGCGACCCGGGAGCCCGCGCGAGGGTGCTCGGGCACGGGCCGCCCCGGAGTCCCCGCACGCCCAGCGCCCCCGGGGTCGCGGCTTAGGGTGGGGAGCGGGCGGCCTCCCACGCCGCGCGCGGTACAGCCCTCAGGGTTAGCACTTCCACCTGGGGTGGGTCGGCGACCCCGGGGAAGGGGACACCACGAAAAGTGGGTCAGGGGGGGCGCCCCAGAGCCCGTGATTCACTGTGGTCCCCCTCTCCCCGCCCCCCTCCTGGGACATGCGTGGCCCGCGAGCACATCTACAAAAACAAAACCACTATCTCTTCCTGGAGAAAGTGGCCTCCAAAGGCCGGCCTCTCTCTCTGTGTTGCGTGTCTCTCTCCCTCTTTCCAAGGGCTGGGACACCCAGTCTTAGCTGGGAACTTTGATTTCTCTTCCCCAGACAGTTTGAGTCTTGTGCCCCCTGGCCTTTGCGGAGGGTCCTTTCAGACAGGGCTGGAAGTCAGAGTCTTCAGATTCCTTTTGGGTTGGGAACCTTGTAAGTTTTTGTTGAACTCCGAAATTGGCATTCTTTTTTCCCTTGCAAACTACACTTTTCAGGCAAGCCATTAATATAATCAAAAGTGTAGCTCCAGAGATAGTGGATTCCTGGAGCAGGGGAAGGAGGCCTAGTTTGTTCTTCGTTTTTGCCCTCCTCACTCATATGCATAGCTTTCCCCCCATCCTTTTCTTTTCCTCCCCCTTGTATTTTTGAAAGCAGGACTAATCAGTGCTGAAAAGATGACTTTACTATCTTTAAGATTTAGGAACAGTTGTCATCTGTTACCGAAAAGAAAATATTTTCAATTTTAGGTAAAAGAAACAGTCCTCCTCCCCCAAAGCTTCATACTGTACAATTTTTGTAACTTTTCCCACTTGAAATCTCCATGTTCTTTTACTTCAGGATGATTAAATGTTTGCTACTGATAATGGCTCCAATGGTATTGTATAGATATTCTGCTCTTCTGTTTGCCCCAGGAATTGGATGACGTAATTGATCACTAAGGAACTACCGTGCTGGGGAGATGTGCGAGGTGAGATCGAAGCTAAAAACTCTGCCCTGTTTTCCCTCTTTACTGTAACCAACCCCAGCCGCCACTTTCCAAGGAGATCAGTCAGCCAATTGGGATACAGGCAGGGCTAGAGTTAGCAGAGTTGTACTGTCCTTTTTAGTTAGTGGCTCCAACTTATTCACACATAGTAGAACTTGTCTAGAGCCAAATGTTATTTGTGGCTATCCTTGATCAGTGTCTTCTCCAGGAGTAATTATAGTTTGCCTCTTCAAATTTCCTTGTGTAACTTTAATTGGATGGTCTGGTTTTTATCTGTTTTGATGTCCATTACTTACTCCACACTGAGTATAAGCAATTGAATAGATAAAGTTCACACACCCACAGTTTGTGGGACTTTTGGGAAGACTGTTTCCATTGGAGATAATAATTTTCAGCAAACAAATCACTTCTGTTATTATTATTTTTTAATTTAGTTGTTTGTTTTGTGGTGCTGGTATGTATGAGACCTGTGGGTTCACACGTAGTAGACAAGTGCAGAATGACTGAGCTCTATCTACAGCCCCTCTTGTTTTCTGAAAACCGAGTAGCAAATGTCTGATAGTACTTTGAAACAAATGATAGTGTTAAGCTCTGTGTTGCTTATTGGGGATATGACTACTCTGTCATCATTTCTGGTCCTATATGGTGTGTAAATTCAAATTATTGTTTATCCCATGTAATACTTTGGATTTTTTTTTTCTGGACCGGTTTCACTACTATAGGTTTGACTGGCTTGGAAGTTGCTAGGTAGACAAGGCTGGCTTTGGACTCCCAAGTGCTGGGATGCTACCATGCCTGGCTTACTAAAGGACTTATATATGTTAGTGAGCAGTTTGTACTGTGTACTGGAGAGAAAGAAGCTTGTTTATAGTTTTCAACCGGTTTCTCAAATTAAGATACCTCTGGTTGCTTTAGAACAGCAGTTCTCAACCTGTGGGTCCTGTAACCTGTGGGGGTTGCATATCAGAAATCCTGCATGTCAGATATTTACATTACAACTCATAGCAGTAGCAAAATGAGAGCTATGAAGTAACAGTGAAATAATACTTTTTCTTTTTTGGTTTTTTGAGACAGGGTTTCACTGTGTAGCTCTGGCTGTGCTGCAACTCTGTAGACCAGGCTGACCTTGAACTCACAGAGGTCCTCCTGCCTCTACCTTCCAAGTGTTGGGATTAAAGGCCACTGATGCTCTGCTTTTGGGGAGAGGCAATGAAATAATTTTATGGTTCTGGTCACCACAACATGAGGAACTGTATTAAAGGGTTGCAGCATTAGGAAGGTTGAGAATCATTGCTTTAGAAAAATATAACGATGGTCAATTGATTTATTGCAGATTTGTTTATTATTTTCCCCCTTAACATATATGGGTATTTACATTTGAAATCCTCACAAACTTTTCATATATATTACATTTTTTTAAAGAATAAGCTGTGGGCCGGGCGTTGGTGGCGCACGCCTTTAATCCCAGCACTCGGGAGGCAGAGGCAGGCGGATCTCTGTGAGTTCGAGGCCAGCCTGGTCTACAGAGTGAGTTCCAGGACGGCCTCCAAAGCCACAGAGAAACCTTGTCTCGAAAAACTAAAAAAAAAAACAAAAACAAAAGAATAAGCTGTGTTCCCCGGTCCCTCAAGATTGAAGCATATAGTTGACAGTTTGTCTTTCAGACGCAACAAAGGGAGTGGGGACCGTGGGGAAGGGAGGTGACGCAGACCAAGACTCTTTTAGCACATAACACTTCTACTTGTGTTGAAACTCAGCTGTGCTTATCTTAATTTTAAATTTTGGCAGAGCAAATACAGGCTTTTAAATTTATTTTCATTGTGTGGATGGAGGCATGTTCTTGTCTTAGACCTCCCAGTTGTAACTCTTCCTCTTGTTTTGTTTGAAATCCATAGGTAATTCTGTGACCAGGAGCCAAGTATCTGCTGTTGCCCCCAGAAATGTCCTCACTTGTAGTCCAAAAATTGAGTACTTAGGAGTAATCTTGTGGAGGAACTACTACTGTTCCTTACTTAGCCTGATTTGTATTAAGACATTCTTCATAGTTTCCATTCAAGCAGACAAGTGTTGTTGTTTTCTTCAAAGTGAAGCTAGTGGTTGGCCATCAAGCAACTTGTTACATAAAACTGTTTGTTTTTCTGTTTTGAGACAGGATTTCTTTGCATAGTCCTGGCTGTCTTGGAACTTGCTCTGTAGCCCAGGCTGGCCTTGAACTCAAGAGATCGCCTGCCTCTGCCTCTCAAGTTCTGGAATTAAAGGCCTGCACTACCACCACTGTCAGCTACAGGAAGTATTGTAAAATGGGAAATACCATAGTGTCAAAGGTTACACTAAAGTAGAAGTCTGTCTTTGAACCTGGCTTCTTAGTCTGTCTTTTGGCTGGTAAGCTAGGGCACTGGTTTTAGATAAGGTTGTATTTTTGGAGGAGTGAGTTTATATAGTCTGGCACCTCTTAGCTGGGAAATTTGCCTTTTGTCATTATTAGTAAGAAATTTCATCTTCATATAGCTTAAATGAATCCAGTCATCATTGTCTTTAAAGTTTCTGTAGATATATGGACTGTACAGTTACAATGGCTAAGAAAACAATTGCTAAAAAGAACAGTCATTCCTGCTTCTGAAGGGCCTTGTGAAGCGTAAGTCTGCAGTGCGTATTCTGGAGAAATGGCTCAGTCATTAAATGCACTTGTTGTTCTCATAGAGGCTCTCTGGTTCAGTTCCCAGCCATCTATGACCACTTACAACTGTCTGTCCCAGGGCATACAGCACCCTCTCTGACCTCTGGGCACTAGGCACGTTTGTGGCACACAGACATATAGGCACATGAAATAAAAATGTCTCGAAAGAAATTTTAAAAGTGTAACGTTTTCATGAAAAGCTGAGACTAGTATAGAGTGACCCTCAGGGAAGTTGACTAAATCTGGTAAATGCACCTGTGTTCTCTGTTTGAGAAGTAGACTTGACAGTAACAGTGAATGCAAATCAGCCTATAATTGTCTGTCACTCACTATAGAAGATCCAAATGCAGGCCCAGTGCAAGCATTGCGGTTCTTAGGGTTGTTTATTTTCATAAACCTAGGTAAACATACTTGCAAATGTAGTTGGATTGCTAAGTAGTATTTTGAAATGTTTTCTAGAAGAGAAGTGTAAGATGGAGAGAGCTTACCCGTCTCTTCGGGGCGTTGGTGTATCAGGGTTACTTGTGTAGCATGAGCACATGTACCACACAAATACTTCTGTCACTTCAGGGGTGGCTGACGTACACTTAAATCCTGTCTCTGATAGTTAGCATTCCTCTGATAGAGAATGAAGACTACTTGCATAGGTCATACTTGTGAGTACTTATCAACTTTGTATGCTTATAACCATTCTGGGTCAGCTCTTTAGGAGCAGGAATTTGTCTAGTTTTTGAATAAGAAGCCTGGTTTATCATATATATATGATCTGTATCATATATATATATATATGAGTGTACATTCGCAATAGACATATCTAATTAAACGTTTTTAATGTTGTATGTCTGCGAATGCATGCACTTGTGGAAGTCAAAGGGCAACTTTTGGAGTTGGCTCCCTCCTCCCGCCTTCACATGGGTCTGAGATTGAACTCATGTGTCAGGCTTGTGCCTCCAAGTGCCTTTACCCACTGAGCCACCTCCCCTGTCCTCGTCACATTTTTGGATTGATCCCCTCTGAAGTGTGAATGATTTGTGAGTTTTATTTCTGTGCTGTATTTTCAGTTTTCTTATCACATCGGAATTTGCTTTTTTACTCCTTTGTGGGAACTCTACCTTATGGTGGAAGTATTCTTGTAAACACAGCCTGTCAGGTATATTTATAAATAATATAGTTTGAAAAGTTACACAAAAATCATGCATGCATATGGTAAGTTAAATTGAGCAATACTTGAGTATAAACAAAGACTGGAGCTGGGCCAGGCAGTGGTGGCGCACGCCTTTAATCCCAGCACTCGGGAGATAGAGGCAGGCGCATCTCCATGTGTTTGAGGCCAGCCTGGTCTACAGAGCAAGTTCCAGGACAGGCTCCAAAGCCACAGAGAAATCCTGTCTGAATGGGGCTGGAGAGCTGGCTTAGTATGTAAGATAAGAACATTTTAATACCCAACACCCACACTGGTGGCCCACAACTGCCTGTAACTTTAGGTCTTCTCTGGCTTCTGTGGTATTTGCACATGTGTGACGTTTACACACACATATACATTTAAAAATATATAAATGCATGTGTATATACACAAACACAAACACATTCACGTTCACTTACCCCCACCCCAGTACATTAAAAAGAAAAAAGTTAAAGACAAATTCCCATCTTCCCCAACGCCTTGTTTCCCCTCTGTCTCCCTCTTCTTCTGCATGGCCTTTGTAAACAGCTGGGTGTCATTTAGGTTTTGGAAGACCTCTCTGATCCTAAAGTGAATTGGCAGCAGTAGACGTAGAGTGAGAAATCCAGAAGGCGTGGCCTGGATGCCTATTCTGATGTCCTGTGATGTTAAGCGTTAGTGACAGTCAGCTGTCAAACTATTAAATGTTTAGACAATTAGTCTTGAGGTCAGGCTGGTGATGTTTTGATTTTGTTGATCTTTTATTTTTAGTTTTATTTATTTATTATTTTGTGTGTTTTGAGACAGGGTCTCCATATTGCCCTGGCTGTTCTGGAACTCACTCTGTAGACCAGACTGGCGTCTCACAGAGATCCTGCCTCTGCTTCCCGAGTGCCGGGAGTAAAGGTGTATGTACTATGCCCTACTACCATTGTTGGATTTTTACATTTTTTTTCCGAGACAAGGTTTCTCTGTGGCTTTGGAGGCTGTCCTGGAACTAGCTCTTGTAGACCAGACTGGCCTCGAACTAACAGAGATCCGCCTGCCTCTGCCTGGATTTTTAAATTTTAATTTTTCTTTCACGTGCTTTAGTGTTTTGCCTGTGTGTATGTCTGTATGAAGGTGTCAGATCCCATAGAACTGTCATTACAGACAGCTGGGATCTGCCATGTGGATGCTGGGAACTGGACCTGAGCCCTCTTAACTGCTGAGCCATCTCTCTAGCCCGCATTGTTGGGTTCTATGATAAGCTCCCCTATGTTTACTGTGGACTTTTTATGACCTGCTATCCCCAGTTCTCTAATGTTTTATAAGACATCTACTTCCATTTTGGGAAGATGGAAATTTAGGCTTAAATGTCAACTAACATAGCAAAAGAACAGTTGAATGGTGGACTGGTGTTCTTTCTGGAAAGCTTTGCTCTTTATGTCTGGTTGGTTTTACTTTCTCATTTTTTCCCCTTATTTTTGAGACAGTTTTGTGTAGCCCAGGCTGGCTTTGAGCTATGTAGCTGAGGATAACCTTAAACTTTTTTAAAAAATTTAGATTTATTTCATGTATATGTATATGAATGTCTTGTATGTATGTGTACTACATGCATGTCTGCTACTCTTGGAGACAGAAGAGGGCTCTGGGTTCCCTGGAATTGGAGTCATTGGAGTCAGAGAGTTAAAGTGGGTACGGAGAATCCTGGAAGAACAAGTGCTGAACCATCTTACCATCTCCAACTTTGAACTTTTTTTTTTAAAAAACAGGGTTTCTCTGGCTTTGGAGCCTGTCCTGGAACTCGCTCTGTAAACCAGGCTGGCCTCGAACTCACAGAGATCCACCTGCCTCTATCTGTCTCCTGAGTGCTGGGATTAAAGGTGTGTAGCTCCACTGCCAGACTCTCAACTTTGAACTTTTGATCGTCCTGCCTCCATTTCTTGGGTACTGGGGTTATACACATGTGTCATCATACCAGTTCTGGGTATTGAACTCAGGACTAGGCAAACACTCTACTCCATAACTTTCTCATTTTCCAGATGAGGCAATGTAGGCAGAGAGAAACTGACTTGCCCCAGGTTGTGAAGGTCAGTAGTAGTAGTATGTCTAGAGGCTTGTGTCAGGGCTTTGGTCCATGGCTAGTTCTCCTATATCTGATTGCATTACTGTGGACAGAAAGGCCAGATGCTATGCAGAGTAGACACAGATGCTTCTGAAATGATACACCGATCTTCTTTGTGCCTGTGTTTGTTGTGTATTTTTTGGAGACAGTGTTTTGATATATGGTCCAGACTGACCTCAAATCCAAGATTCTCCTGCCTTAGTCTTTTCAGGACTGGGATTACAGGTGTGTGCCACCACATCTGACAATCTGTGGTATTTAAAGGCTTTTTTTCTCTCTTTCAGAAATTATAAAGAGCTCTGATGGGCTATTTGGGTGATACCCAGTGCAGTGAACTGCAGGTGAGTATAGATGGCTTAGAAAAAAAATTCAGCAATATCTTTTTTTTTTAAGATTTTATTTATTATGTATACAGTATTCTGTCTGCATGTATCCCTGCATGCCAGAAGAGGACACCAATCTCATTACAAATGGTTTTGAGCCACCATGTAGTTGCTAGGGATTGAATTTAGGACCTCTAGATGAGCAGTCAGTATTCTTAACCTCTGAGCCATCTCTCTAGCCCAGAATTCAGCAATATCTTAAGAAGGAACAAGAGAGATAGCATTCTTTTACTTTTGTTAAATTTTTAATATACAAGTTAATGGGTTTCATTGTGATGTATGTTTTTTCATTGTGGTAGTTTTATACATATGTTTAACTGTGCCTTGGCCATGTTTGGAGACTTCATCTTGACAAGAATGTCTGGCTAGAAACGGTGTGGTGGGCCACACCTGTAATCCCAGTCCTGGTGGAATGATGCAGAGCTGGTTGAGGCAGGCAGCCTGGTGCTGCAGGACCTAATCAAGTGGACTGCTTCAGCACTGATTGGATGAAGTGAACTCAAGGCACTGCCTGCTGTTCTGTTCCACTAGTGTGAAGCCATCAAAGGCAGTGTGAGGGGAGGTTCTTCTCACACTTTGGTTCTGAGACTCAGTTTATCTTGTGATGGAACTGTGCGCGGTACGTCCTTGTCAGCTTCTGTGTCAGCGTCCTTAAGTGCTAATCACCTTCTGTTCTGACGACTAAGCTGCTTTCTTGATGTCTACTCTTTATGTTGGGGCATGGATGACTATGCATGAAATACGTAGTGTATATTATGTACACGATCAGTTTGGAGGACTTAGATACTGGGAATATTCTGGTAGAAGCAAAAGGTGAGACTTTGTCCCTAAATGTTATACTGCCTTTACTTACGCCATTAGCCCTTCAGATTATTTACATTTTGCTGAAATGCCTACCAGCTAAAGAGAGTCAGCCAATCTTCTTGGTCCATTCTCTTGGTCTTTGTTAGATCTCTGAGTTCAAGGCCAGCATAGTCTACAGAATGAGTTCCAGGACAGATTCCAAAGCTAAACAGAGAAACCTTGTCTCAACAAAAACAAAAACAACAAAAAAACCCACACAACAACAACAAAAAGCTAACCAACACTAACTAGAAAGGCTGAGGCAGGAGGATTGACTCTGTTTCAAAAAAAAAAAGGAAAAAGGGAAACTGAGGTGGAGGTAGCCATGGTATGGTCGTCTTGGCCAGGAGTGCACATAATTCTGTGTTAATGCCTAGCAGAGGGGTGGGTGGTTCTGTTGTGAGGACCTAGCTCCCAGTCTCCGACACTTGTTTGCTGGATGTATTGGAGCTTTCTTTTTCTTTTACATTTATCTTGTTGTTTATTATATTTGTGTTTCTGTGTGTGTGTGCACATGCACAATGTGTGTACACATTTTTGTGTGGGTGGCCACAGAAGCCAGAAGAGAACCAGAATGACAGATCCCCTGCAACTGGAGTTACAAGGCACCTGTGAGCCACTTGACATGGGAGCTAGGACCAGAGCTCTGGTCCTTTGTAAGAACAGTGCATGTTCTTAGTGATGAGCCATCTTTGCATCTTTTTATTTTACTTATCCTTCTCTCATACAATACACCCTGACTGCAGACTCCCCTCCCTCCACTTCTCTCACCTCCTCCTACCTCCCTTCACCCTAAGATCCACTGCTCATCTGTTTCCCTTCAGTAAAGGACAGGTGTTCTAGGGATATCAACAAAACATGGCCCAACAAATTACAGTAAGACTAGGCACAAACCCTCATCAAGTCTGAACAAGGCAGCCCAGTAAGAGGAAAAAGGTCCCAAGAGTGGGGGTAAGAGTCAGAGACACCCCCACTCCCACTGTTAGGACTCCCACAGAAACCACAAGCTAACAACAACATACATGCAGAGGACCTAGAACAGATCCATGCAGGCTCTGTGACTGCCACTTTCGTCTTTGTGAGCTCCTATGAGTCCTGCTTAGTTGATTCTGTGGACCCTGTTCTCCTGGTGTCCTTGATTCCTCTGGCTCCTATAATTCTTCCTTCCCTTCTCTTGAGTGGTTTCCCAAGCTCCCCCTAATGTTTGGCTATGGGTCTCCCCATCTGTTCCCATTAGGTGCCGGAAGAAGCCTCTGATGATGATTGGACCAGGCATCAGTCTACTTTAAATTACGAATGTAATGATTTGATACTTTAAAATTTATTAGGTGTTGATGAAAATTTCATGTTATAAATTTTATAATTTAAGCTGAGCGTGATAGTGCATGTTTTTAATCCTAGCACTTGGGGGCAAATGATGACAGATTTCTGAGTTCAAGTCTAACCTGGTCTACAGAGTAAGTTCCAGGACAGCCAGGGCTAGACAGAAAATACAAACAAACAAACAAAAAACAAAAAGGGGGGGTTTTTACAATGTTAATTTACACATTGAAAGCTTGCAAAAATAATTTAATCCAGTTTACACTGACCTCAGATGACCTTGAATTCATCTCCTGCATCCCTCTCCTGACTACAGGTGTAGCTCCCATACCAGTATGGGAATTGAGCTCAGTGTGTGATAGACAAGCACTCTACCAACTGAACTGCATTGCCAAGTTTATATGTCTGTCTGTTTGCATTAGTTATTTACGTTTCTGGATATTTTCAGTTATGTATATGTGTGAGTGCTCTGCCTGAAGTGGGCATCAGATTCCACTGTAGGTGGTTGGGAGCTACCATGTGGTTGCTGGAAATTGAACTCAGGATCTCTGGAAGTGTGTGTGTGTGTGTGTGTGTGTGTGTGTGTGTGTGTGTGTGTGTGTGTACACATATATCTTCTGACTGTATCTAGGATATTTTTTGGAGTATGTTATTATGTCAAAGGATATTTATATTAATGAATGTTTTTATGGATTTTGATGTGTTGTTTTACTGTAGTACTAAGGATGTCATACCAGTTTGTACTGCTAGCAAATACAGATTTTCTCATGGCACTGTAAGTTGTATAGGAGTTCATGTTCCTGTAAACATTTTCATCTGATTTAGTAGTATAAAAGGCTCTTGTATCTCATTGACCTTTAATGTTGTGTTTTTAACTATTTGAGTCATCTTTGTCCTTTTCTATTGCATTGTTACGCAATCAAAACTGATGTGGGCTTTGCATGGTAAGGCAAGTATAACCAGCTAATGGATAATTGTTAAGAAGAAAGTCAGACTGAGCTCAGTGAAAAATCTTGTAGTGAGGATACAGACTGAGTGGTAAGTGATGTTGGAGATTGTGGCTGAAGGGTAATAGTTGGTGATTCCAAGATCCACCTTAGCAAGAACGTATTGGATATATCTGTAGCCAGAGCGTTAAAGTTCTGCCCACCAGCCCTGCAGCCACTTACAAAATAATCACTCAGGGGCTTAATATTAATTATAATTGTTTGGCTGACGGCTCAGGCTTATTACTAGCAAATTCTTACAATTGAAAGAAGAGCGTGTAGAGGGAACCCTGGGGTAGAGTGGACATGGGGGGGCAGGTCTTGAAACTGTGCATCCTAATTCCATGGGTCTGGGTTAGAAGTGGAAGGTGATGCTACCCGTGATCAGGATCTTGTGAGAGGATGGATTGGTAGGGAGGAGACTGAGGGAATCAGAAACCAGTGGGATTCAGGGTAGTCAAAGGAAGGGTGATGAGGGCTTGAATTAAGTTGGTGGTTTTGGAAAGCAGTAGGGGATGTAAGAAGTATTTCAGAGACTGCTGCGGGGGAGGTAGTGACTGGTAGGTGAGGGAAGGTACTTTTAATCACTGAGCCATCACTCCAGCTCCTGATCTTACATTTATTAAGGAAAAGTGAGAAAGAACCCAAGGGGTAGGAGCTACAAAGGAGGAGGAGGCAGAGTAGCTGCAGAATTCCTTCTTGCTTCAGCTTTGTGTCTTGGGCTAAGTATCTTGAGACACTAAGCCCTTTTATTTTTGCCACAATAAAACTTGTTCCTTGTTGAAAAGTATAAAATGCAGATGAATTAAGAGAAACTACTACTGTATCACCTAGAGCTTCCCATTAAAAATTTTTTTTGAGATGGTTTCTCTGTGTAACAGCACTGCCTTTCCTGGAACTCACTCTGTAGACCAGGCTGGCCTTGAACTCACAGAGATCCACCTGCCTCTGCCTCCCAGAAGGCTGGGATTAAGGCAAGTGCCACCATGCCCTGCAGCACCCTTGTTTTAATTATGGAATTGGCTCTTTCATTTTGATTTGTTCTTTAAGAGGCTCAGCTGTTTTGAACTATAATTTAGTTACATATCTATACTGATAATCTGAAAGGGAAAAATGAAATACAAAGGAAGAGGTTTTATAACATTGAAATTCAGAAATATTAGTAATATAGAAAGCAATTTCAGTGATAAGTCCCCAGATTGGCCTCAAACTCATGATCTTCCTCTATCTTCTTCAGTATTTGTCTACTGGTGTGTCCACCGTGGCCAGCTAGAAAAGTTTGTTTTGTAGTAAAAATTTCAGTTTAGGCATGTTTGCATACCCCAATAATCCTAGCACTCAGGAGGCTGAGGCAGGAGGATCTGGAATTCGAAACCTGCCTGGGAGACATAGTAAGTTCCAGGTTATTGTGTGCCACAGACTGCATTAGAATAAGCAGCCATCTCTGTTAGAATTCATTCTTTAAAATAGAAAACAAAACTGTGCATAATATGTATGGGTGCCCTTGCTACTGAGTGGGGGTCAAAGGCCAACTTTGAAGTTGTCTTTCTGTTCTGCATTTATGTGGAGTCAGCTTTGTCAGGCTTTCAGGCAGGTGCTTTACCCAAGGAACCATCTTGCCAGCGTCAGATTTCCTTGTTAGTATGCTTTGCTTCCTTCTCCAGTTGGGTGCATTTTAATTGGTTAAGACGTGTGTTACATGGTTCAAGAGGAGGCTCAAACTCTTTAGGAAATGATTTGAGATTATTGAAACTAAGGTGACCACTAGAGGTGCTATTGATTTTGAAGAATGAGCTAGGAAAAGTCAGT